CATTGAGATTTGATGCTTTTGGAGGCTTTTGGATGGAGATTTCTATTAAGAAATTTGAGATTTCCTTTTAATTTAATATTGCCAGAGGTCTTCAAAGTTAGGAATTCTTATTTCCTTTTAATTTAATATTGCCAGAGGTCTTCAAAGTTAGGAATTCTTATTTCCTTTTAATTTAATATTGCCAGAGTAGCTCCAGAGGTAGCTAGCTAAGGATTCCTTATTTAATTATCAACTGATTGATTTTCTTATACATTATTTTGGAGGCCTTGGCTGTTGAGGGGGGGGGGGGTTTATTAATCAAGGGACTACATTACTAGTAGTAACAAGTGCATCGCTACTAAAGGCCATCGCTCCGATGTCTTCGTTGCTACCGTCGTCCTCTCGGAAGCTGCGCTTCTTGGCCTCCAAGAGCTGCACGGCTCCGTGGCTCAGGGCCTCAGTCCGTCCATTCCATTCGGTCGAGTAAAGAGAACAAAGCAAGAGAAGATAAAAGGACGACAAAAACACCTGTTTTATCCTTTGAGCTTTTTTGTGCCCTATGGTGTCCATTCAACAGCAGTTTTGACACGTGACAGTGGCACTGTTTGTTGGGCCCAACATGGTCCTATGGGCTCCAGATAGCAGCTCTAGTGGGATACAAAGTAAATTGCAGGCAAGGACTTTCAATCACTCATGGCATTCACACCATTTCAGGAGTCAATGGGAGGAGGAGAAGGAGAAGGAGTAGACACACATACGCATACACACACAGGTAGCCATGTCTAATTGGTACGGCGTTGACATGTTCCGCTGACATACCAAACCGGAAGGGCTCGAATGCCACAAGGGATGACGAGTGGCAGAAAATTTGGCAAAGCAATCAAAATAGAAATGAAGTGCCAAGGCAAAAGAAATTCTAGACGAGGTGAACAACTGTGCTCTTGGCTTTCAGCTAGCCAGGCATTCGAACCAAGCACTTTTTCCTTTGGTAATGAACATCACATTAATCAATTGATTACTTGGTGGGTGTATCGCTGTCACGACTTTCCGTGCCAAGCCACCAGGCAACGCGTGCCAACGTCCCGCAGCTCCACCGCCTTGGCCACCAGATTCCGCAGTGATGCAGCGCCCCAGCAGCGCAGCCGCGCCGCATCCAACGGAACACCCAAGGCCTGACTCGACATGTCGAGTAATTTTAAAAATAAGAACTCTACTAACACTATATTTATATATTACACTATATGTATATATAATATTATACACGGAAATGGCCGCGCAAAAGTGCCTATCTTATTCCACCGACCCTTCGCCAAAGTGGAATCTGTTCCAAAACTTCGGGGTGCCGCTTCGCAGCGCACGGTCGCATCACTTCCACCTTCGCCAAAGGTGACACTACCTTCGGTGACACAAACGAAGGTGGTTGTGGGGTGTGTGGTTGTGGGGTGTATGAACGCAGGTCCAACACCTGGTGGGTGAAGTGAAATGTGACAGCACAAAAGGCTCAGCACACCTTCCTTTGAACACAGAGAGATTGACACACCATTTTCCATGCTTGCTCATCCTTTCGGTCCACGTTCCACTTGCTTCTTGGGTCATCAATTTGAGTCCGCTTGCCCACCTTGCACTTTGGCCCAATGTTCTGAGTCGGGGGGGTTGAAACCGTGAGGATTGAAAGGCAGGGCTGCAGAAACCATTGCAATTGCAAAAACAAGTGTATTTCAACCCTTGTCTTCAATCTAAATAGTAATGCTTTGTGCATAGTGACTTGCAAAAGCGATCACGACTTAAAGTGCTTTGGTCTCTGAAGGTGAGAGTGCTTAAATAGCGGCAGCTAGCAAAGTGCAAATACAAAGTGTGCAAAGTTTTGTGGACGTAGTGGCGACACGCTTGCAAGTGGGCGCCCCTTCATTCATTGCAGTGGCGGATGGGAAGAGCTTTTTCCGTTATGCAAGCAGGTGGAACAAACTATACACAACGCAACAAAGACAAATGGAATCAAATGGATATGTAAAATGCAGAAGAAACCGGACAACTCAACTCTGAGAGAATGGGACCCCGAAAGTTCCTTGGAGCCTTGTTTGTCTTGCAAATATACGCGCTGCCCGGCATCGCTGGTTTGAGAAAACTTAACAATAAACCATTTGCTTTGCCACTGGTTTACACCCCACTCATGTGGCGGACCAATCGCGCCAAGAAAGAAACCAAAGATGCTGCCAGGCTACATGCTCCACATCCAACTTCAAAGCACCGAGATTTCGAACTCCAGCGCTTTCAACTGCTGCAGTGAATGCTTCTAGCACTGTTGCCTCCGATATGTCGATATCTGTCTTCGACAACTGAGGTTCCTTCGGTCCTGCGACACGAGCGATGGGCGACAAGTAGGGTGGCCGTGCGCGGTCGACATGTTGGAAGGAAGGGCTACGATGTAAATGTCACAACTGGAGGCGGTTGAACTGGCACAACCTACTAGGAACAAGTAGCTACTAGGGGCTCCTGGCCTTACTAGGAGCAAGGACGCTACTAGGGGCTCCTGGAGTCGCTACTAGGAACAAGTAGCTACTCTGGAGCACGACTTGTGTCCGCTCTCCTCCGTAACCTGCCAGGCGCACCCTTCCAGCACCCTCCTGGTGGAAAGCATCAGAAGCACACTGGTACGAAAACGAAGAACCGCAATGGTATGGAGCAGGTACGCTGTCAAAGCATGAAACCGCTGTAGCCAATGAAAAAAACAACACACATCTTGCTTTGATTGCTCAAGGCACCTCGATGTACTGTAAGCGATCTGCATGGGCTCGGCAGAAGTTGCGGACTCCGCCACAAGCTGCGATTGCAGCCTGAAGAAACAGTGCCCAGAATTTCAATGCTCCGGATGCAGCATGTCAGGTGCTAAGAGCTAAAATACAACACGCTCGTGTCGAACTCAAAATGACTCGAAATACCTTTGACCTGTCTTTACCTTGTTCTGTTCTTTCCCTTTGATTTTCAGGCATCTAGGTCCTTTTCCTCTCTTTCGTCGTTTTCCTTTACAAGAGAGAATCAAAAAGAGGGTCCTCTCGACGCCTTGTGCTGGGCTCCTCGTGCATAGAGCTTGCCAACCACGGAAGCCTTTGCTTCGCCTCCAGCCTCCTTGCATTCAGCGTTCAAAGTCGATCAAAGACTGGATTCAGACTCAGGTCAAAAGAATCAAAAACCGCCTGTATTCATATACTTGTTTAACTCGTCAACTCGTTGTCGAAGATGCGTCATTGCTCATTTGCTATTTCTTGTTCCACTGGGCAATGCTCCAAGCTGGAACTCCTGTAACAGCTCCGCTAGGGCGGCAGCTGTCGCAGCCATGAGCCCGGCGGCAAGGCGTGCGGAACAAAACACTAAAATGCATATATAATATGTACTTATTACTTTTATATACGTATATGAGGGGATCAAAAACTTGTTTAATATATATATATACAGACATGTATTGTTGTTTGGATGGAAAATTCTGATCCAACAGGAATGGGATGCACGCCCTGAAATGATCATCAGGCGCTGTTTCACAAAGCCAAGCCGGGTCTCTTTCTTGAGTCGATGCAAAAGGTGCCTACTGTAAGTATATGCTCTTAGAAAAGCTTGCAAGACTCTCACTTCGGCCTCAGGAGTATACGTTCAAAAGATCTCAAAAGGCTATCTGAGTATGCAACGGCACTGCAGTCCTTGTTTTCATTTGAGTCACTTCCATCACAAAACAACTTGTAAAGTTGTCGAGACGATACTCGTCCTCCAAGGCAGCCTGGTACTCACAGCTCAACAGTTGCGCCTGCTCAGCTTGCTTTTCGCTTGAGTCAGCTCATTATTTATGCTCGCAATTGCTTACAAGTTGGAACAAAATCGGACTAGGATCATCTCCTCACCCCGAATAGCAAGAGCCAATGGACTTCTGGAGATCGTTAAAGCCTGCAACATCGAGCAGAGCTTCTTGCAAAATCCACGATGTTCCAAGTCACTTTCCAGATCTGCGGAACAAATCCCTCCGCTTCTCCCACCTACCTCATCGCAATCTGTAATTGCCTGGTCAGGAACTCGCTTGTCTGTCGAGCTTCCCGACGCTGCCGAACCACCAACTCCAAACACCTTGTCGTATCGCTGGAGGGCAACCTCAGATTGTAAAGTTGACACGTTGAAGATTGAAAGTTATCAAAAGTGATTGACAAGGCTAACCTACTTGGCAGATCTTGGCAGGAGTTGCTTTGAAAGTCTTCTACAGCCTGACAAGACCCCCGACAAAAGCATCCGCACGCGATGCCAACGCCGACACCCTCACCTGAAACAGCAGAAGACAAACATCCGGAGCCTCTCTTTTGTAAAAGCTTCAAAAATATATGTATTGTTTGACATGCAAACGAGTTTGGTGAATTGTCAAAAATTACAAATTCCTCTGCTCCTAGGTTCATTGTCAGCAGACAAAGCAGAGGTGGCAAAAGGGTATTCAGCAAGGTAATTCAGCTTTAGTACGTGCACAGCCACCAGAGTAGCGGCATGCAGTTTCCACTCAAGCTATCGGCGGGTATGTTTCTGTGGGTGCAAATTGAGCATGGTGTGAATGAAAGATTGAACATTGTTCTCTCCTGCGTCAGATCTTTGTGACCGTACCTACAGATGATGGAATGGAGTGTAGTAGTAAGTATGCACAAGTAAAGTACATACATGCATTTTAAATCATTTTAATCCAGTGTAGCATGTATTTGAGGAAAAAAAAAACATGTGATTGCTGCAGTCCTTTCTTAGTCTCCTAAGTATCATGTGTCTTCAAGTTGTTCCAAGAATTTGGCAAGCAACTCACCTCTTTGCTGCATGTGAGAAGCACAAAGGTTTTTTCCGGAGCTGCTGAGCAGCTGATGAATTGTAAAGGATCTGTCTATGGAAGCAACGAGATCCATGAGTTTGGCACTGTCGTTTCACCGATGTGATTTGTTTCATGTTATCTGCATTGTCTTATGATCATAATTGTTAAGCATGAAGACGTGTAGCGTTCTCAAAAGATTTGTCTATTGGAGGCACTGTGACAACTGATTATATTCTGAATCTGCTTCTCAACAACAACTGGTGCCTCGGATGCAGCATGAGGTATGTCGATGGCCTGACACACAAAGGACTTTACAGTTTTGCTGTGGATTGCATCTGCTGGGTCTCGTTGAAAGTTTTTCTTTCCGCATCTCGCAGTGGCACCTTGGTGAGGTCAGCCAGCGCTGCGCCAGCTTCCCGCAGCTCCAGCTGAGCCTTGCAGCGACGCGCTTTGAAATTAGTTACATTGAACAAGGAGTTACTAAAACTTAAAGGTGCAGACTACTAGAGTTACTAGAGACTCTACGACTCTACAATGTTTCCTCACGAGCTTCCTTTTGAAGTCTCTCAGGTTGAAACAAAGCACAACAAGCAAAAAGCGTGGGTAGCGAAGTCCACAACAACTGCTCCCTGAGATCGAGCTTAAGATCTTACAACACCGGTCTTGTCAAACCTGTCCCCGAAGCAGCAGCGCTTCGCAGCAGCTGGGACATTCTCGCAGGGCCTGGTGGTGCCAAAGCAATACGAAACACCGACAGGCTCTGCGTGTGGCCCACGTCGCTTCACTTCGCTTCGCTTCGAGCGACTCACCGAAGCGTTCGAACTGGGACCGACATCTCTCGCCTCGTCGGCATCCGAGATCGCCTCTCGGATGTTCCCCAACTTTCGATGGGCGTTGCCTGTCACCACATGTATAAGGAGATGCAATGAGATGACTACAAATAGTCTGTCTAACTGCAGTGCCAATGCTTCTAAAGTATTCTAAAGTCATCTAAAGTCAGTATGCTGAAGCTTTGCCGCTTGTTTTGTCCTCTGTTTCTGCGGCACTCCTCAGACTGCCGTCAGCAACCCCCATGCGACATAAGGAAAGGTCGAACTTTGCCCTCTTAGACTAGATGTTTGTTCCAAACAAAGAAAGTCAAACAATGAAATAAGGTACACAAACAATGCTCTTGCTGACTCTTGCCTAATCCTAAGATATCCTGAAATGGTTCAGCTGGGCTGAAGTCGACCATGGCGAAACATCATGCAGTTGAAGTGATCTGAATTTCACGTGGCACATCATGGCACCGTATTGGATCAATGACGCAAAGCACCTAGAGGCGGACGTTCTGGATCAGCGAGAAATTCCTTTCTGGCCATGTTCTGGTGGAACTCCTCTCGAATTCCCTGCAAAATGTCTGTGTGCATGCGAAGCAAATGATTCCTCACGTACTCACAGCCCTTGAAGGACTTGCGGCAGTCTTTGCATTGGAATTTCTGATCCGACACAGTGATAATCTTCTCACGACAAACTTCGTCAAAGCGTTCTTTGATTTGGACATCATCGTAGCGCAGAACAGTAGGCCGCGTCAGAGACACTGTGTCCAAGAAGTCCTGCATTTAGATCCCGTTTGCTGGGGCCAACACCCAACTGCTAATGTACAGATGTTTTTTTCACAACTTAACGCATAGATTCGGCAAAACCATATCGCTGCTATGTTTGAAAGATGTGTGTGTGTGTGCCGAACTTTAGTTTGCCCATGGTTTCCCCTGTCCCCTGTCCTTGATGCGTCCTTCATGGCCAATGGCCCAGATCTCCATGTCGGTGTCATCCTGTCGATACGGCTCTCGCACAGTTGCGGCTCCACAAAGGATTCGCAAAGTCCACTCATCTCTGCACCATTTTCCCGAGTAGAAGCAAAAGTGGTGAACACGGCGTAGGTACAGCACCTGAAGATCCAACTTAAGCTCTGTGTTTCCACAGAAATCCAAAAGGCTTGATGTGATCTCCTTGGACACACCGTGCAATTCATCCATGCGCTCAATCACCTCAGTAGAGCTGGAAAACTCCATCAACCAAAAAGAAAGTGGCAGAGAAGCAATGGCCTCCAACCTACAGGCGATGGCCTCCAACCTACTAGCAATGGCCTCCAACCTACTAGCAATGGCCTCCAACCTACAGGCGATGGCCTCCAACCTACTTACTAGCAATGGCCTCCAACCTACTAGCAATGGCCTCCACAGGCGATGGCCTCCAACCTACTTACTAGCAATGGCCTCCAACCTACTAAGCAATGGCCTCCAACCTACAGGCTATGACCTCCAACCTACTAGCAATGGCCTCCAACCTACAGGCGATGGCCTCCAACCTACTAGCAATGGCCTCCAACCTACAGGCGATGGCCTCCAACCTACTT